GAAATAATATTTTTCCAAATACGTGCAAAGATGGAAAAATATATTCCCAAATATTCCAACTTAATATTGGTTTTTCTCATATTGTAATCCTAATTTGGGTCACCAATTCCAACAGGAATGGATGTATGAAACTCAGATGAAGACAATGTTTGGTTACTAGCAAATTTATTCGATATTTTCTACTGTGTCATTGGGTTTCTACAAGAGAGCTCGGGATTCATGGTATGGCCTGCACTTGAACCTGCACGCGAATGCGAACATTGTGTCCTCGACTATATTTTGCACGAATGTTTTCAAATTGTAGTGCTATATCTCTTGTTTACTCTGTAAACAGTTGGTATACATGTGGATGAATTCACCAAGAAAAAATAAAAGTTTCTATCACACTATGTACTCATATGGGAGCTACAAATCCCTACAAAGTTTGCTTTGGTTTATATCGCTAAATTACAGCCATTCTTGAATCAATATAGATGTAATCTGATTCTGGATTCACCTTTTTTCTGCAGTGCTTATACCTTGAGCTCACCACCACTTGCAGTAGCATCACTTCCCTGAGGCGGGCTAATCGTGATCCAGAGCAACGAGACCGTAATGGAAATAAGTCCGGCCCAAACGTATATAATGGTAGGCACTTTCCCTCTCCTTCCCATTAGTCCCTTGCAGAATGGATACATATGAGCCAACACCCAAAAGCTGAAGAAAGCCCCTCCGAAAAGCTTACTCCATTGGGGAATCACACTATAAACAGTTCTTGAAAACCCCATCACGAGGGCAACGAGGTTGACAATGACGATAGTTAATGGCATTATGAAAAGACTTGTCCATTTGACAATGTAGAGATCAGCATAGATATCATCTTCGTCTTCATTAGCTGATTTTGATGTCAACGTGAATGAGATTTCAATTCCGGCTATGACCTTGAGGAGACCCTGGATGACAGCAGCAAGGTGGGCACTAGAGCCACCAATGACCCAAAACTGCTCGTTACGCCACCATTCCTCGAGGGCTATACCGGACCACTTCACTTCGAGGAGTGAAATTAGAGTGAGCACAACAGTGATTATCAGGAGATAGCAAAGGAACGCGATATTCAAAGATTGCACAATGAACTGTCCCGTGAAGAGGGATAGAGCAGGGAGGAAGCAGTAGATCACTAAGAAGAAGGATGTAAATGGATATATACCGACATTGAGGTAGGCTATCCGCTGCAAAAACTTGAGGCGTCGGGTTGCTAGAAGTGCATTATTTCGAGAGAAGAAGATCTCCACTGATCCAGTGGCCCATCGAAGGACCTGGTGGAGACGGTCAGTGAGATTAATGGGAGCAGTTCCTCGAAAAGCATCACGTTTTGTGATGCAATAAACAGACCTCCATCCACGGTTGTGCATACGATAACCAGTAACCACATCCTCAGTCACTGATCCATAAATCCATCCTATTCTGTCTCCCCACTCCGTCTTATCCTCGTACCTGTCTCTCAAAATAAGTACACAATTCATAAATATTTGGCCTACAATTTACTGAAAGACTAAGAAATTTAAGCAATTAATTACCAGCAAGATATGACAGCAATTGCCTCTGCCGCAGTGGGTGCGTCTAACGGAGGACGTGGCGTGAGTAATGAACCTGGAGGCCTACCATTCTTAACAGAGATGTGATCAGCAAGTGGGCGCCCTTGAAACTCAGCAACTGATATGGACTCGGTGAACATTGTTGAATTCCCAAACTTCTTCGGCAGGTTCAAGTCGGGATGCCCTGTCAGGGGCTCCTCTTCGTCAGATCGAGGCTGGATGTTCTTAGCAGGAGCCTTATTTTGTCCAAAAACTCCAGAATACTCATTTGATCGGGGTGGTAGAAACCCGTACAATGCATACCGCCTGAACATGCATCCTGTTCCGACATACACTGGCCCTTGGAGACCGTCCAAGGCTCGCATATTTCCTGATTTTGACATTAACAAATTCCAGATTGTTCAACAAAACTAATATGTACAACAGAATAGGACAATGCTGGAATATAAATTTCACAAACTGAATGTATAAGCCATATTATAAGCTTAGGCTAACAAGAAAGTTTGATATTAAGAACAAAATAATGCCTCAGTTTTACTTTCAACTTCTTTGTTAAGCATCAATTTCGCAAAACGATCTCATTTTACCTCAAATTTCATATTCTGCATGAAACTAATAATATAAATTACACTTGGTTCATTAAATGAGGGGTTTTTTTTTCAAGCATAAGCATTTTATGCAGTGTATCTGTTAAAAATTAAGCTTGTATGATTCTTACCATCGAAAAAGACTGTGTTATGGTTGGCATATCTGTCCGATGGATCAATTCCTTCGAATCTTTGTGGGAACTGTAAGTAGCAGATACGATCACCACCTCGGTCCATCATATAGCACATTCCCTCTCGTATAGCCATAGAATTGTAGATGTAGTGATCACAATCCAAGTTCAAAATGAATGGTGCATTGGATATTATGGCAGATGCTCTCACTAGAGCGTTCATGGCTCCTGCCTTCTTGTTATGATCATAACCAGGACGTTTCTCACGCGACACATATGCAAACATAGGAAGACGGGTATCTATACCTGTGAAGTCCAACTTCCCTTCATCAGGACCACCCATTACAGGATCACTTTCTGGCACATTGCTCATGATCTGTATGGAAACAATATCAAAAGTTGGGAAATGATTCTCAATGATCAAAGAAGAGTATGAATTATAATCCATAAAACGCAAAAATGGCTATCTATTCCAAGCCATACGGGATTAGTTTAAATAGTTAATTTGGAGACTTTCTTGAGTCCTTCCATGTATCAGCCTTTCTCCCTAATGCCCATATGTTCAAATTTTCAGTTAAAAAGTTATTTTGTTACCTGCAAAATTCCAGCGTGATCTCCCTTTGCGTGATCAGCACAGGACTTGAACCACGTTCCTGGCCAATGCGTCCCATCTGCCATCCATGTGGCCTTTGTGACCTCGATCTTCTGATCCGAGGGCAGCACGCCATTGTTCTTCTCCTTAATGAGCTTCTTTTCCCTCATTTCCTCATTTTTGTTGTACATGTCACATCGTTTTCGTATTACTTCTGACAGGCCATTGATCCTGACCTTGAATTCATCGTACTCCCTCTTAATCCACCGACGATCCTTCACAAAATCTGGTCGTTTCTTGTTTTTTGTTGGATCTGTCTTCTGGCTAAAGTAACTGTCAGGATTCCTCGGTTCGATGTTGTGCTTTCGACAGAATGGCACCCATACCTGTTGTCAGTACAACCATTTTGGTTATCACCAACACGTTCAAGAGGGGATACATTTTTTAATTTATATTGTTTATTCGAGAAAGTAGGAATCCTCTATCTAGCTTGTCTACCCCTTCTCCTTCTTATGAGTAGGAGAAAAGAGTAGCATCTGGATATACTTCAATATGTTCCCATCCTAAAGTGCCTCATCAAAATAATGAATCACCATGATATCGACACATATGAGATCACAAAATGTTCTTGAGTTCCTATATTTAACTCTCTCGTGATCGTCTAGGTCATTTAACTACCAATCTACTGGACCGTTAATTTTCTTTGTTAAAAGCGAAAAGATTGTAACGATACCTCACCAAATTTAACAGCCTCCGCCATGGCCTCAAATGTAAGAATTGCACCACCATCATCTGAGATATAGATCGCTACCTTCTCGACCGGATACTCAACAGCAAGAATGGACAGAATTGTGTTAGCAGTAACCAAAGGTGGTTCCTTTTCCGGGTCAGCGGTAGATATGAATATATCCATACCCGGAAGATCGGACCGGCCATTGGGGTTCGTGGGAGACGGAGATTCAAATTTATCCTTGAGTGCAGCCAAGTCTGCCATTCGGTTTATTGGATTGAACTTCGGAAGAATATCAAGAAGCCATGAAAATGCAAACCATATTTCACATGTAACAGATAATCCCCAAAGCACCATTGCATCATGGTTAGGGTTTTTTATCCTCCATACAAGGAAGAAAACCAATACTATCATACGCAACATGATGAGTAATCTGTGGAAAATTTGCATTATGGCTTTTAGATATAATGCAGCTTGAAAATTGTATTGATAATGGTAAATGAATAATTCTTGAGATTATTATTCAGGTAAATTTCTAAGTTCCTTGATATCTTGTATACTTAGAGCATCGAGGGATATTAGACTTGCCGAAGATGGCTATTCGCATACGAGGATAGCTATTATAAAATTGACCATGACTCGAAATTAAACATCAAATCTTATTTATTCCTTCTAAATTGAAAACATTAACCAAATATTGAAACTAGAGAAAATTAAGAAAAATGTTTGTATTTTATTAATCGCGAAGTTATCCTGAATTTGGCTCCAAGAAACCGTTCATTAGATTTTTCAACCAAAATTTTAAGAACTTCTACCATGTTACATTTTCAAGGCTGATTGTTAGATTTGGTATTTTCCATCAGCTCATGTTCAAGTTCATGTTCGATATGCATTACTATATTGTACTCGATAATGTAACTCGTAAAGTACATATATAAGGGGTGCACCTGTAAGGGCTAAGAATTTCAGGAGGAGTTTTAATCTTCCTTGTGAGTGGCTTCCAGGGTTTGTCCATGAAATCTTGCATGCTCATTCCAGTATCACGATCATATGAATCCTCATCCTGTTGCCAAAATGCATTTCCAATCCCATATTTTCCTTTCGTTTCAAACAGGAAACGATTATGATCGAAATCTTGTGTCTGGCTCCTTAACAACATCGATTTATTATCCGATTTCATCACCGACATTCTCCGGTCGAGCTTTCTGGCCGTATCACCACTGCCACTGTCCTCATCACCTCCATGACTGCCCATCCTGATGCGTTGCGACTCGGAACGAAACCTGGACGACGGCGCACGGTACGGGGTCGGCCCATCTGGCTTGTCGCCAGCGACATTAGTGGCTGATGTAGCTCCAGGCTGATTATCTGGAGTTGGTGGCATAAGAACGGTGTAATTAATGTAATCATTTTGCGCAGCGTATTCTTCCGGTAAATCCAATTCTTCGTCCCGGGACAGGCTCACGACACGTCCGCTAGACGTCCGCCGTGCAAATTTCACCGGCTGCGGCGGACGATCACCGCCTCCTCCGACGGAGGATGAGTATTTTCTTGCACCTGAAGATGTTGCCATTATGTATAGAATTTGTGTATGTAATGATTAATATGGGTTCTTAGGCTGTTTGAATGATGATAGAATTACATTTTTTCCTGCAGATAAATAGGAATAGAGGCAAGATCCTAGATTGTTTAGCAAAAGTTAAGAAAATGTTGATGTTCCTTGAATAACCCGTGTCAACAATTGACTTCTACACAATTCGAACAATTTTGAATTCACCTCAAATAAAAAAATGGAAAAAAAAATCCTTGATTCAAAAATCATTCCATCGATCGCAAAGATTATATGGTTAAATTCAAGAATATAATGCCTAAATTAGGTTTTTGAGTGAGGTCCTGAATTTCATCCCATGTTTGACGCCTAGTCTCTCTCCATTTCATTTATTTGATGGGCTACTTTTTGTCTATACACAAGTTTCAAACATTTTTCTTAATTATGTCTAAAATGACCTAAATTGATTTATCGAGCCTTGATCTCCGAGAACCATAATTAAGGTTTGATTGTCACGTCAATAGTGAGAAATTTTTATTCTACCCACGGAGCAGTAGATTAATTCTATTGATGTATCTCCATTGTAATAAAGAAGTCAAAACATATTGACACTAAATTGAAATTAACATATGCATGTTCTTTCCCGAAAGAAAGTTGATGTATTTTTCATGTCAAACAAGTGTCTTCTTTACATTTTATTGATTACAAAAAATGATGTGATAATTCTAGATTGACTTAATGAAATGTTAACACAATGTTGATATTGATTGCTAGAAATTTTGTAAGGGGGAAGCTAGTATATTTGCTGAAATTTTTGCTTATTTGAGTGTTACAAAGGATTTAATCAGCTTGGTCCATTTCTTTGGACCTTTCCCTCTTTATATAAATCGCAAAATTAGAGTTTGCAACCTTTGTCTTGTCAAGCAACAATGTTCGACCTAATGATGCTTGTTATCATCCTATTCTGAAGGGTTTTCATTGGTAAGAGAGTTCAGCGATGGGAGCCCGGACAATCATGACATCTAGGTCGTAGCCTGCAACATAGGCCATCAATGCTTTTCTAGTAATGATTGGTGGCGCTAAGGTCAAGGGAGGATACCTTGCTTCTAATTGGTTATAAGAGGTGGTGTAGACATCGTAGAGAGAGATTGTTTCAATTTGATTATGAATTTATGATAATGTTTTCTCATTATGGCTCCCTTTGGCTAACCTGCCAAGATGGGCCTAGTATCTAACCTAAGCCATTGGCTTTTTGACTATCTTGACAAATAATCTCCTTCATTTGACTACTTTGAAGTTGGATACGAGGTGACCTATTCAGATCAACAAGAAGATATTTTTTGATGTAAAAATTTGTATTATGTTATGGTCAGGTTTTCAATTCTTTTTATGAACCATGATTAGATAAACTATGGAAAACGAATGATGTTCAAGTCAATTCTAAATCTACGACAACTTGCTTTGTTACAGGCAGGCTCGTACTATTTTTTTGGAGAAAATAACCATTTTTAGATGCTCTTTTGATCGTATAATCCATGGAAGAAATAATTACAATGATGAAGATTTGGAGATCTGAAAAATGATTATACAACTTTTAAGTAGGGAAAACCAGAGAAGTAGATGAGATTTGTAGGTAAATGAAGAAGGTGTTGGAGTTTGGAGGAATATTTAAGCAAGGAAAAATCTCCCCCAGTGATGGATTTGGGTTGGGCTTGGATTGGATTGGAATTTTTCGTTGGGTTGGTTTGTTGGGTCAATATTGGGCTGAGGTATTATGGGTTTGAATTTGAACTTAGGTTTGCACTTGAGTTGGTTTTGATGGATTTGGATTTAGGTTGAGCTTCGGAGTGGATTTGTGTTAGGTTGGCTTTTAATATGTGGAAATATCACCACACACTACACTTTTAATAAAAAATCATTTCTTACATTTCCAATTTTTTCACCAAATATACTACAGTATTTGTAGCATAAATAAAAATTGAAAAATATATTCATTTTCATATTTAATATAAAAAAGCATAAATAATTCCAATTCATGCCCCACCCCAATTCAAGCCCCAAATTCCCCATGTCCCCCGTTATTACCTTTCTCCCACAGAAGCAAGAAGTTCCTAAATAAAAAAACGAGAAATCTTCAATACAATACACGAAATCTCCGAATCGCATCCCAACATGTGATTCCACCAATTAATTATGTTTATAACCTAAGCACCTATCTGAGACCGATTAAACTGGAATGAAAAGCAAAAATATGACCGTTGGACACAAAAAATGCCATTTGTTTATTCCACGTACTCTGACTCCTTACGGACAATTTTTGTACCAATTATTCATTGTCTGGGTCAATTGCCAATATTGTTGCTGGATCATAAAAAATCCTTTATTCAAACACAGATGCACAAGGGGGTACTACGGACTTCTGGAATATTTTGTAAGTCATGTACTGTAAAATAATTGAATTAATTCATATGTACAGAATGAATTTTCACAGAATTTCTACAAATGAGTCACATGGCAATTGGGCCGCACGTGAATTTAATATTGCCAAAAAAATCGGACCCCACCTAATTGCGTGTATTCTGTAGGACTTTTGTGAATTTTTCTTCTGTAAATGTAGCATCATTCAAAATAATTGACACAACAACAGCTTTGTCTCATACCTTGTGGGGCTGTGAATTGACTCCAAAATCCGTTGTCTTCCCAACAATTGAGCCCAAGCAGGCACTAAATATGAATCATACCCTCTCTTCCAATCAATTAATGATATTCTTTGTTATGGTATTAGATCAAATAAAATATTTTGAGTGTTGTCGAGTTTGGGCTTTAGAGCTTGCGCAGTCAAGGTTGTGCTTGAGTTTTGGTGGGTGTGGATGTCAGGTTTGATCTGGGAATGAACGGATTTGGATTCACTTTCAATAGACTTGTGTTTGAGTTCGGGTTGGTTGGGTTTGAAGGTTGTGCATGGGTTTGCGTTAGTGTTGAGTGGGGTCAAAAATTGTGTTGGTGTTTAGATCAAACATTGGGACCACTCGTGCAATTCCAGTCCAAAATTCATGGAATCCCGTTTCAAAATTTAAATACATTGATTTTTTATTTATTCTTTAAAGGTACATTATATTAATAACACTGAATATTAATGTCTTGTTTGGGCCAGATTTTAATCAAGTTAAAGTCAAACAATCAATATCAACCACATCTTTCATGGATCTCACATCTTTTCAACCACACATTTCAAAAACTTCTATCACAATTCACCTAAAATTTGATTTTAATTTACACCAAACACCCTCTAAATATATATCCAAAACTTTAGGTTTTGAGAGAAAATGGGGAGGAAGAATAATGTTGGACTAATTAGTTCGAGTTCCATACTTTTTCGATATCAGGAATCACATGTTTATTAGGCCAAAGCCTTCGTATCAACAAATGGTGGGGATTTAGAAAATTATGGATCAACGCCCGATTTGGGACACGAGGATGGGAGCTATAGAGGGAAACTACACTTGCATGGTTAATGCTACTGCATATTTGTACTTTGAGTTTTTTGTATCTATTTTCATGTACATGTATTGATTGCATAGGTTGCGTCTAGCTCTGATTTGACAACCTTTATTTCAATCTCTTTTTTATGAAGAGGGTAAGTGACCCCTTTATATCATTGATTGGCCTTCATTTTCTAAATTCACTTTTCCTCTAATTTATTTACAATAACACATGTTATGGAACTAAAATTCTTATCATCTTTTGAACCACATATTTCATTAATAAAATTTACTAGAAATTTGATTATTAGCTAAACCAAAAAATGGGGCAATATATAGCCTACGTTGATACTTGAGCATTTAGTGAATTTTTGAAAAGGGAAAATTACATAACTACAAAGATTTCAAAAATAAAAACATTGTGAATCTTTTTTCAAAAATCAGGTGGTCACATTTTGTGACCCTTCATAAAAAGTTTGATCACGTTTTGTAACCTCTGATAAAAGTTTGTGATCTACAATTTAATTAATAAGATCACGGTCACAATTACATATAATTTAGGTTACAGTCACATATTAGTAATAAATTACACAAAGTTATAGTTACAACAAAATTTGAGGGTCACAATTACAAATTTAATCTCAAATCACACATTTTATTAAATTATTTGTTTATTATAAATTGTCCACTTTATCGATCACAATTATTCAAATAAATGGTTACAAACGTTCTTCATCCCACCCCACTCTACCACCACTCCACAGACACCGACACCACCTAATGCCATTGCCACCTCACCATCGCCGTCGCCGCAACCTGCAACAACCACCACCACTACTTCAAATCCACTATCACTTCCACGTTCACCACCACCAATGCACCCCAACCGTCATCACCACCAATGCACGCACCACAACCGTCATTACCGTGGAGCTTTTTGATGTCAAACGTCCCAACCTAGCCGTTGCTCACATTTCAGCCACAATGGTTTATCTTTTAAAAATCATTCCCATGTTTCAATCATCAGAGTGAATAAAACATGGTGAAATATGAAGGATTCCAACACAAAACACGTTTAGATGAAAAGATTTTACCAAGTGCTTAGATTATGATTCCACAATTAATTCCAAATTTTCAACGATAATGTTCCAGTAGTCGGACATAAGATTTTTTTTGATCAAATGTGTTATGCCCCTTAAGTAGATTAACGTAGTATATTTATTTTCTCAAAATCATTTCGGGTGAATGAAAAATTAAGTCCAAAAGATGATACTTGAAGTTGAAATAAATTGAAAATAATATTGGTGAGAAATTGAAAATGCATCCAATCCCATATGAATACTAGAAGATTTTCACTCAATGCCGACACTTGAGTTTGGGACCCAAGAAGTACTAATTGTCTTTAAAGAGGAGATGACTCACATTCTAGTAGGTAAGGCCAAAGTAGGCACGTGCACCGTTGCCTGCCGGACATGTGCCACAAGCTCTGCCCATCCCCAATTTTTTTGTGCATGCCACGTGACGTCTTTTAGAAGTGACGATTTGTCTGTTCGAACCTGTCTATACAAAGAGTTGTGTTTGTTCAACATACGACTTTGCTTCAGTTGTCTTTTGGATACATCATTTCAACTTCTATAAATTAACCCTCGTATATTGAATTTTATTAATTCCAAATTCATTTCAAAGATAATATTCTTTCTTTTTGGCACTATTCCGTGTTTTGCATTTTAATCCCGAATATTATTTACTTGCATATTTTAGTCGTATTCGGATTCAAAGAGATAAAAACATTAGTAGGTTTGCTAGATCTTATAATTTTGTGCACTATTATTTTAAGTCGAGATTGTTGTATTTTCGTTCATCGAGCAAGTCAAAACTCTAACCAATTTTCCACTTGCCAAAAGGTTATTTCGAATATAAGTTTGTGCACAGTAAATTGATTATATTACATATTATACCGAACAACTAAGAGACCGGAAGAAGCGAGGAAACATTCAAAGTTTACGAGATGAGTGATGATGTTTTAGCCATTCAAATAAAAACCAGCCTAAGATTAGATTGCGGGATTAAATTAAAGTAAAATGCCTGATTAGGTGCATAGATAATCAAAGCCGACAGTGTTTTTCTCGACATGGACATCTTCCGAATCCATTAGTTTAATGACCGGCTAAAATTGATGTTTTGGTGGACCAATTTTCTAAAATTTACATGCTGCCTAGTCAGACAGTGAGGTTTTCAAATTTTTTAAGAGTAATGCGGGGCTCGAACTCGAACTCGAACTCGAGGGTGTATATCTTGTTGACCTCATTTTTTTGTTGAAATGACGTGGCCTATGAGTTAAGCTCCACGTAGATACTTTCCTACGCACTAGAGCATACCGTTAGTCTTTCGTGGCCTTCTTCGGTGATGGGGGAGTTGACTGCAAGCACTCCGACGGTCAAAAGTCGACGGTGATCAATTATGTATATTCGAATATAAGGCACAAGATGAAAGTATATGAATAGTGGAACAATGTGTATGTTAAGACTGTGGAACAACATTACCTTCAAATGGCCAGGCATGTGAGTTTATATATTGTCAGATTTGGAATGCTGATCGTAGGATGATGAGACACGTGGCTTTATCTGATGGCAGGGGCATACTATGTCTCGTCCTAGGTATTAATTCGTCAATCTATGATTGAAGGACATTTAATGTTATGAAATGTGGGATATTGACTTGATCTTTTTGCGCTCATTGTAGAGATGTCAAATCATTTAATCATTAAGGGTCTGTCTGTTATCTCTATTTCCCTAGATTAACATCAAGATTATAGCCGTTGGTCTGAAATGTGGGACCCATGCCAGAGAGAAATGGTCAAAAAATGTGGGCAATAACGGGCAAAAAATTACAATTTTGGCAACAATAATCTGGGCCGACATGCTCTAAGATTTGTTCTAAAAGATCTATTTAGGAGATGTGGAACAGAAAATGCTTTCATCTGAGTAAAACGTTGCTTTGGGACTTTTGTTATGCGATAGAGTGACACTCCACCTCAAAACTGAACCTTGGGGCCCACCTCAGAATTGACCTTTGGGGTTCATCGTCGCCTTGCTTCAACCAATGGATGACGACGTGAAAAGAGTAATTGCCACCTAGTGTTGATGTGGTGATAATCTGGAGGCCCGTCAACAGAAGCATAACATGTCTCAATCATTTTTAACCATATATTTAATAAGATTCACAATTTTTATTAAATTTTCTGTTATACACTTAATCAACTTTTATCAAAATATACTAAAAATCTATTTTTTAACTAAACTAAAAAGGGCTTATCGAGGACTAGTATATTAAAGCATTATTGATCACATACACAAAAACATAATAATATGTTTCATTATTTCATATAATTTTAAGAATTGAACCGTCACCTCTAAATCCTAAGAGTAGTGCTTGGTGTACAGGTAGGGGTTCTGCCGAACACACACAAACACGGGTGGGGTGGATGGAGTTGGGATAATTTTTTAATGAGGCGGGTCCCGCATGTGAGAGGCTCGGCTCTGCCAGGCCTGTAAAATGTGAGAGGCTCGGCTCTACCAGGCCTTTTACAGGCCTGGCAGAGGAGCCTTATTCAAATCCTAAATCGCCATTAACACCAATTAATCTACATCATCACCATCATCATTGTAGCCCATCAAAAACCACCATAAAAATCAAGAATTAAGCTAAGGCCCCGTTCGGGAAGGATTAAAATCCAATTAAAATTGAAAATATGGCCGTTATTGGGTCTCACTCGTCTAATAAAAGTCAACAATAACGGCTATATTTTCAATTTTAATCCCTCCCAAACAAGCTGTAAATGTAGATTATTGATTGACATGAAGGATGACATTCCCTAAGTGGAAGGAATCTAGATAATAATGAGATGGATGTTTTTACTCAAAATGAGTAATGTTATTCATGGGATGAAAATACAGTTTATGTGACATTAAATAATATGTTAAATGAAATGTGTAATTAAATAACTTATTTAATTTCACCTATTATTTAATGGCACATTAATGTCACGTAAATTGTGTTTTCATCCCCAGTGGGGATGAATAACATTACTCTTTTAAAATCAACGGTGTAGATTGTTGTCATATGAAAGAGTGTCAAATTTATTGTCAATTATAAATATACATGTAGCACGATCGAAAAATCAATTGTCACCCATAAAAAACCATCACCATTGCAATAATCTACACCTCCCAAATCATAAAAAAAATATAAATAAATAAATAATCGTATAAGCAAAATCTAGTTTCAAGACTATCCAAATGTGAAACTACTCAAAATATTTTATTCATATTTCCAAGCTAACACAAAATGATTTTTTGTCCTTTTTTATTTTTATTAAATTAAAATCAGGACATTTCCAAAAAAAAAAAAAAAAATTTGACCATTTAATGGTCAAATCGTATGTTTCATCAGAAAAGGACTTTACTCACAAACTTTTCATAGGCTAGGGACCTGAGATACTTCAAATGAAAGGTTTGGGACATTATATTCACAAATTTCAAAAGTTTGGGGTTCAGTGCTATTTATCCTACTACTTAGGAACATTTTCAAAATTTTTACTTATTCTGGCGCCAATTCAATACAAAAGATGGCGCCCTTATTTCAAAACAAATTTCAGTCTCAGGCAGAGCAAAACGCGAAGGAAAACTACAATTAGAGAGATGAAGTCAAAACAATCTTCAGTTCGCCCACTGGGCCAACGCTCTATTGCTTCAACCTTCCTCTTTAGCGCTTCAAATCGGTAAATTACTCCAAAATAAGTTAAATTATAGCCAATTTTTCATTTTTCTTTATTGTATCTGGGTTTCTTGTTTTGCCACTTTTTTTTTTTTTGTGCATTTTCAGAGTTAGTGATTGTAAGAAGAATGTCGAAATTAAAGCTCCCAATCAAACGTGTTCTCGCGTTTCGCTATCTGATTTTCTCAATCAAAAGTTGCACAAAAGTTCTGTGCTGCCCACATCAGTTCAGGTACTATTTAAGCAGTTTTTCAAGAGTATTTATGCATTAATAAGAAAATGAGAGTGAATGAGAAAGATAAGAAATTTGGGACCGCTAATGAAAAAGGGATATTCGGGTGCTATGCTAATTGATTCCAATAGTTGGAAGTTCTTACTTGAATCTCTGGAAAATGGGAAGTACTTATTCTATTTTTATCTTTTCTGAATTCGGTTAATCTTTAATACATAATTTTTGCTCACAATAACAAGAATCCTCGAAAAAGGAAAAGGAGTGCGTCTGGTTCGTGTATAACAGAATCATGTACTGCTAGTTATTATTTGAATATTAGAACATATAATTTTAGCTCCAAAAATCGAAAAGAAAAAAACTTGACTTAGAAAGAAAAGGACAAAAAGTTCAGCTTCACCCTTGTAACTTTTTCTTGGCTGTAGATAAATGTCATATAATCTTCTAAGGTAGAGTCTCAACTTTGTAAGCTTTTCGAGAAAATATTGGAATCCGTTACATTTGCAGCTTTGATCATCAAAGAGTAGAAAATCCAACTATAGTTGAATTAGGAAGATTTTTCCAAAGATGTACTTTCTTTTCGAGAAGACAATGAGTGCTTGAACTTTTAGATGATTTGTAATGCACGTGTTTAGTTGCTTAAAAGGAACAGCATATCATCCTTCGCAGGGGAAGCAGAGGCCATTTGTGTCGCCACTAAGTCGTGAAGAATTGAAAAGGTGTGCTGAAGGAGAAAGTGGCAGTAAGCAAAGAGGAGATGCAAATGTGAATTGTTCTCTAGAAGGTGCTTTTGAAATGTTCAAGCATGTTGAGAAATTTAAAAAGGATAACACAGATTCTTTTGGTAATAATGATAGGGGAAGTATTGAAACAGGTGACCTACAACAAACAAGAAAAAGAAAAAATCTGTCTGTAGGTTTGTCATTTCTTCTTAGCTAGCTCTTGTTGTTTCCATATAATTGTAGTTGCTTATGATAATTACTTGATTTATTCATTTAAATTGAAATTCACTTGTTGTCTAGTGTGTTTCTCAGTTAGCGGTTAGCCCAATTAAACTTAATTGTAAAACTAGAAAATCCTACAAGAATAGGCCTCTCAGTGTCATTTATTTGCCTGTCAATTTGTAGAAGTTTTCGGTAAGTTGACAGGGTAAATCGTCAAACTTAAGGCATGTCAATTTTGGATAGATTAGAATGCTTTATAGAAGAAAACATAGCTGATTGCTATTAGAAACCCCAAACTTATATTGGATAGAGTTTTCCACCCAGATGCAGCCTGTGTCCTTGTTTATCATTTTAGGAGGATACATCTAAACTTTTTCTTCTACTGTTGAGAATCCTTTGCTAATGATACTGGAGGGAAAGTATAAAGATATTAAGTCCATGTATGTTTTTAGTGTTAATGCATGATGATATCATGTTAGAGCTTCAGTTCACATTCAATCATGTTGAGAATAAACAAGTACTCTCATATAGCATTTAAAGATACTCTTTTTTACCATCAAAATTACAAGGCCATGATGATGAGCCATCTGCAAGAAAGCGTTTGATAGTTCTTGGAGACGATTCGAAGGCACCATCAAGAGGAAAAAAGAAGAATATTTCTAGCATGGATGAACTTAAACCTCTCTTCAATCATTGTAAGTTTGGTATCCATAGATGTAATAAAATTTGAAAAGATGATTTATAACACAACTCCATTCTATTTTACCTTCAGAGTCTCCATTCAGATCTTTGTACATTTGGATTTCCTTTTGTTATTAAAGTTCTCCACAAAATTGACATAAACCAACCTATGTTGTGCATGTGTAGTAGATGATGTCGGGTAAAAGCATCTATTTCTTTTCAATCATTTTGAGAATGAAAAAGCATTTTCTCATATAGCATTTTATTTATTTATTTTGTACGAATTACAAGGCCATGATGATGAGCCATCTGCAAGAAAACGAATGGCAGTTCTTGGAGACGATTCAAAGCCATTACGAAGAGGACAAAGGAAAACTTTCTCTATCAAGGAAGAACATAGACCTCTCTTCAATCATTGTAAGTCTGATATCTATAGATGCAGTAAGATTAGAGACTATTATGATTAATATAATTCCATTACATATTTGCCTTCCTCAATCTTTGTGCACACTTTTAGCACTAAGTTAGTTTAGGAACAAATTATTATTAATTTTTAATTTTTTTTATTTTCCTTCACTTTTGAATAGATGCAAATGGGGGTGGTTGGTGGGACTCCAATATGGAAGGCGTTGATAACGAAGAAGTCGGGTGCAATGAAGTGTGGGAAGGAATGGGCTCTATCACGCTTGGAGGCCTTGAGTGGAACTAATTACTTTGCATTTTCCTCTGGAGTGTGCAGAAGTTTCTCTAGCTACATACTGTCATTTAATTTTCGAACATGGCATTTTGATCAGCCTGTAATTAATGGAAAGAAAATGACCGGTATAAAACTGAATAGGGTATTTTCATGGATGACTAGTTTGATCTTATATTTTGAAGGAATGACTTTCAAGTACTGATTATGCAAGTCTTTTAGCATGTGTCTAATGCGTAACCACAGGTCGTCGTGTAGACGGTTTAATTCAGCTTCTTGTTGTCATCTAACATGGTATTAGAGCAAACAATGGTAACTGCTTGGCTTGACAACTAATTGAGCAATGCTTTTAAACAAGCATTGTATTTTCATATTGAGTTTTAGCTTTATGTCCAAATTGGCTGAAACTCTGGCATTTTGATGCATCAACCGAGTTTTACTTCAACGAAGATTAGCTCAATATTGTGTTTAGATCTCTTTTCGGTTGTTCCAACTTCTAGTTAAGTCTATTTTGTACTTCCAATTTGAAGTTAATTTCTTAAATAGTCACTGAACTTTCCTAAAAGTTTTTAGGAGGTCATCGAACTTCAAAACTTCCCTAAATAGTCACTAAACTTTGCAAAAAAAACTTTTGGGGTCACTGAACTTAAAAAAATATCTAAATAATCACTGAACTTTGCCAACAATTCCCATTAGGTCACCAAACTTTGCAAATTGGGATTTCATACATCAATGATCCAGTGATCTCTTAGGAACCTTTTGAATTTGAATTTGTAGCTTTTGCAAATGTAGCTTCGATAGTGAATTTGAATTATTCATATTAATAACATTTCGATTTCAAAATCAACGAATTAATGAAGTTGCTTGTCTCTCTACTCCACTGCACCACGTAGCAACTTTTTCAAAGCTGGTTAGAATAAAATGTACTATAATCATGTACTATAATCATTCACATAAACTAGATTAGATAATAGGGAATAAAATCAAGATGGACATACATGAGAGGAATTTAAGTTGGAGGGAAAAAAAGTGAAAAATGACTCACTTTTTTATATTATGTAAAAATGACTCAGTAGGACACGAAAATCATGGTGCAATCCCGAATAAAATATTTAGATCACGCGTCAAAAAAATCATACTGTCATAATATCTTTAGAACTTGATAAGAGTTCAATACATATCATATCTTTGACTTCCATAAGTATAATAATTCATCAACATGAAAAAGAATAAATTACATGGGATAACATCAACTTCACCTTATTATTCTAGCTTTATTGATGAAAATGATGGTTGGAAGAAAAAGCAAGAATTTCACGTTCTAATTTCTAATTGTTGCTACAGTAATACGTATCTATGTTTTCTCTTTTTCTTTTCCCTTTAAGGTAGATAATGATTACTTTTGTATGATATTTAAAGTTGAAAAGGGAAAATAAGCCTAAAAATCTACAGAAATACCGTGTTTCCCCCAAAAAGGTTCCAATCCCAGTAATTCATACAATTAAATATCACTTCTTTTCCCATCCAGCAAAAGTGGCATGCCATCATAACCAATTCCCAAAATCAAGGCAATTAAATAATATTAAAATAAAACTAATTGACACATTTTCAACTACTACACACGTGGCTGCCCAATAACAATTCTATTTTTTTTTAATACAAAATCCTTATTTAATAAAAACCAATTAATAACTTACTAATAAACTTACTCTATAAGTGTCACCCTTGTATTCTAACTCATTAATTAACTTAATTAAATAACAATTTAAGACAATATCTTTCGATCGCGATAACTTGGACCTCACTTATTCGAATTAACTTTTTCTCGAAGCTAATATGCATGATTAATTATGATCTATTCAACGAGTCCAATATTCATATATTTATCATTGCTCTATCAATATCTAAATATTTGACCCATATAAAAATAAATTTAATATATATACACTTTAGGCCCTAACTTTTCAAACATTAAAAAGCATATGGAATAATTAATTCTATTCTCTGAAAATTTCGAGACTTTACAATAGCAGTGGGTGAGGGTGAAGAAAAAGATAGACTTTGAAGATGAAGAGTAAATTTCAATTAATTTAAATTTAGATATACATAAATAGCTTTTTAATTGAAAATAAATAAATAAGCAATGATTTTTGTTTGACCATTATTAAATGTTGGGTTTTGATACTCAATGAATCCCGAGTTATGATGTAAACGTTGAATTGAATTTTATAGGTATTGGCCGATGAGTGAAATTGTTACCAACAACCAAGTCCAAATGCTCGATTCGAAAATCATATGGACCGTTGAAAGTAGATTAAGAAATTAATATTACTCACGACCCATAAATATTTACCTATTGAATGTCTTTGAATTTTGACCCATTTAACCATATTATTGGTCCAACTAAAGCCGATACTCCTATTTATTGCTTGCCTCTACCCTAGCCGTTAGCGTGTGATTTGTGTATGAAAATGGGAAAACGTGGTCTTTACATTTAGAAATTGAAATTTTCAATAAAAAATGAGATTTTTTCATTTGGCAACAAAAGATAAAAGAGATTTTGGTTCAACAAAAAGTTTCAAAAGCCATATGATGAACTTGCTTACATTTTAATTATTTTATACCTATCTGATACTATAATGAGAAAAGTTGGTAAATTTGATACCACAAAAGAATGTTGGAGAAAGTTGGAAGACTTATATTTTACTCAAGTGTACTCTTAATAAATTGTACTTGTTTGAAAGATTTCTAGTTTTAAAATGAATCATTTAAATGAATTTGATGACAATTTGAATATTCTAAGCAAACTTGTTCAACATATCGTTAATTATGATAAGAATGTGTCTAAAACTTATAAAGTCATCATTTTACTTAATTTTATGTTTGATTCATATAGAGATGTTAAAAATGCGATTAAGTATGGTAGGGACACCTTAACACCCGAGATTGTCATTGATTCTCTTAGAAGTAAAGAGATGAAGATTAATGTTGAAAAATAGGATAACATGAGTGGTGAGTTACATATGATGAGAGTAGAATGATGTTTAAGCAGATGAATTTGGGTAAATCTCAAGATAGTAGTGGTTCGAGTAGTAACTTGAGTAATGAGGGTGGTAAGAAGAAGGACAATGGATGAGACAAGTTTAATCGTAAGCGATGTTACAGTTTGGAAGTCTGGACACTTTGTAAAGGTCTGTCCCAAGACGAAGGATAAGCAGAAGGGTAAGATAAGAGTTGAGACGAATGTGGTAATAAGGTCGAGTGATGACCCTTGTGAGGTTTATTGAAAGTAAACTTAGTTACTGCACGTGTATCTGTGTGTAATCCTTTCTGCATGTGTGTGATTGATTAATTCTGTTGCATGATTATATGTTGCATTTCAATGTGTTTGATATGTGTATTTCCATGAATTTGATAGCAATATGTTTACTTGATGTAATTGTTTGCATGCATAGTTGGTTGGAATGCATTAGCAGTGTGTTGTATATCTATTGGTAATCTAGAGTATAGATGTCTAGATATACATTGGTGGTTTGTATTGGGGATGTGGAGTGCGACGTTTGGATCACGAGTGGAGAGATGATTAAATGTTGGAATTCTTTATCTGTGAAGACCCTGATCACGTGGAGTGTGAGAGATGCACTTATATCAATTCTGTTAGGTGGAGACCCATTATTCACTTAGATTGGGAAACGTGATGTGGTGATAGAAGATTATCTTGAGACTTAGGTAGGATCTATAGAGGTTTACCAGTTAAACATGAGTTGAGTAATTAGTCTAGTGAGCAGGGTGGGGGATGAGAGGAGATATGTGTTATTGAGGTGTGAGTAACATGGAATGAGATATCATAGGTGTTGTGAGATCTTTTTGTATGGTCATTTATGCATTTGTTGCACGTGTTTTGACTGTTTGTTGATTAACTTGGTGTTAATATGTTGTTCTGTATGAACGTATCTGTTGAAAATATCTATGGATTATCTTATATTATATCTTCATCGTATGAATATTTACTCTTGATTGATTATTGTGATTATTTGCTTCTATTTGGGTATTGTTGACCTTAGCTCTAGTGAGTACATAGAACAAGTATGGTATGTCTGAAACACGAGGTAATGTCTGTAATTTCAATTTTATTGGTTGCCTTGATTATACAAGTATTAACTTTGTATTCTGATTGCTTGTGGTTGATTGGGTATCAATGTGTAGATTTGTAGGGTTTTGATACCCAATGAATCCCAAATTATGATGTAAATGTTGGATTGAATTTTATAGGCATTGATCAATGAGTGAAATTGTTACCAACAATCGGTCCAAAGTCTCGACCGTAAACAATATGGATCGTTGGAAGTAGTTTAAGAAATTAATATTACTCACGACCCATAAATATTTACCTATTGGATGACTTTGAATCTTGATCAATTTAACTTTATTATTGGTCCAACTAAAGTCTAACATACTCCTATTTATTTGTTGCATTTACTTTAGTTGTTAGTGTGTGATTTGTGTATGAAAGTGGGAAAAACGTGGTTGCTCCTTTGCTGAAAATCGACTGCCATAGTTGAGAGAAAATTGGTGTCTTCATCTTGTGTATTTTGATCCATTCTCTTGCCTTCTTCCGTTGTTTTTCTCGTGCTTTTGTAACCTACAAATCATCACCGTTATCCTGTCTCTTATGGGTGAGATTGAGAAAAATCGAGGTAAATATTGGTTGTGAATTGGAGTCGTTTGGATTGGTTGATTGGTGGAGAAATTGTAACATGAAACTTAGCATGGAAAACACCGTTTTGAAGATCCTTGAAGCGAGCTTCCGCGACATTAAAGAATTTTCTTTTTTTGGACAATTTGGTTGACAGGCATATACACTAGTTCATGTTTGGTAGAAATTAAAATTAGATTTTTATCAAAATCAAAATCAACAATTAATTTCAAAAATATATTTCATGGGACTCACAATTTTTAACTATTATTTTATTAACTTTTATCAGAATCTGTTAAAAATATGATTTTAATCACCA